AGCCTTGCTCGTTCGACAGCCGCCCCCTGGCGTTACTTGTAGTGGCCAACGCCGTCCGGTTTTATGAATATTGAAATCCAAGTCATCGCTATCCTTGCTCCCTGAGATTGTGAGCGTGTCAGTTAGGCTTGATGGCGCCCTCAGTTGCTGGGGTTATAAATGGCGTTGCCAGCCTCTCACCCTGGCGGGAAGGGCGGTCACTGCAGTTAATTAAATACCGTACCTCTAGTTTCCCAGACGCGCGGTGGTTAACACAGGCGAGTGAACCACACCACTGTCGGCACCCGGCCCGCAGGATCAAACCTTTTGATAATATTTGTTTCATCAGTCGATTTTGCAAAATAATGAGCGTTCTCAGCGAAACATGGGATGGCCTTGTGAATTTTGAATTTATTTCGACTCACTTCATTCAACACCAATGACAACCCTGATTTCTTTCCTGTAAAGGGGCTCCCTCGAGTACAACACTACGGGGCACATTGTTGTTTCCGGCCAGGGACTGATAGGCCATTCTGTCCCACCGCGGTGCGTTTCCAGTCCTCATTCTGGCGACGCGGGGCAGCATCCCTGGCCGATCCGGATGCCCGTAGAGGGATACATCATATCACATTGGTCCACTCTCTGACGCGGGAGGCCTTTATACCCGCACAGTTGTCTCCGGATCGACGCATGCACCACCATTAACGTACCAACATCCCTGATTGCAGTAAGTGGTCACGTGATTGACCCATAGAATCCAGTTTGGCCTAACTAAACCCAATGCTGGAGAAGGATTACAGGACCCACCGTTCGATACTAGGGGCCCTGACTGGCACAGGATCCTTCCATCGCCTCAATGTGAGCGATACAGGAGCACAACCAGTGTAAATCGCAGGTCTGGCCCTGCTCCTGTTTGCAAAATGGGCTCCCAAAGCTCAAACCAACTCGGGGCCGACTGTTCGTTGCTTTTGATCTCTGGCAAAAATAGAGGAATGCTCTGTCTCAGGGATGCCCATCGGTGCAGGAAATAATCTTAATGGCATTTCAGATCATGGCCCTGTGAGCGGGGTTCTTAATGTGACCTAAGCCAGCCTTCGGACCCTTCAGCCATCCAATCGGGCCCTTGATCTTTCGTCTCGAGACCCCTGGACACCTTTTCGGGCCATTTCAAACACGCTCCGACTCGGGCCACTTGCAGGACCCCTGTTCGGCATCGTGGCCAATGAACAACACAGGAGCCCCGCATTATGTCAGGAACCAAGAACATTGCAAATCTCGCCTCATTTCAGCTTCCTTTCTGCTTGAGAAATGGGTCTCGAGGGCTCAGACGGACATGAAGCCGACTGTTCGGTGTTCGTGGTCTCTGACCGACTTGGACCTGCATTACATTATCATACTTGCATTGACATACTACGCTACATACCTACATGAGACCTACATTGTCTCAGTGGTTCCTTAAACCTTGCAAGAGGACCTCTGCCTGGTGTTTCAGCTCACAACCCTACGGGCTGCGATCCTTTATGTGACCTAGAGGCAGTCCTTCAGGCCCTTGTGTCCTCCAACCGGGCCTTTGATCGTCGGTTCCGGTGGGCCACCTGCACCCCTCTCCGGGCCTCACCGAACACTTCCCTTGGTCGGCTCGGGGCCCTTGCAAGCGCAGGGCCCTCTGTCAGGCGCTGTTGACCCCTGACAGATACAAAGCCCCGAGCAGTGTAAAGCACTGGCCCCGGCTTTGTAGTTGATTAGGAATTGAGTCCTCAGGTCCATATCAACATGGAGCCGACTGCATGGTGCGGTGATGCCTAACTGACGTATAGGCCCAAATCTACTCAGGGGCTCACCGTTATTTGAGTGTCCTTCTTTGCAGGTCGGGGCCCCTGAATAAGACTCCGACCAGCCCTTTGCGCCCTTACATTCTCCAATCGCGCCCTTAATTGTTGGACCCGGTGGGCCCACTGGGTACTTTGGGCCTCTTCGAGCACTGCCTCTGGCGGACTCGGGGCCCCTTGACAACACAGGGCCCCTATTAGGCGCTGTGGGGTCCCGAACAATGTAAATCACTGGTTCCGGCTCTGCCACTGCCTGGGAAATAGGCTCTTAGACTATGCCGCCACGGAGCACACTGTGCGTTACTGGTGGTGTCTGACCCAAATATAGACCCTTATCGACTCAGCGGGGCCCTGACGATCACGCAAGGCCCTATGGCTGACACTGGAGCGCCCGGCCCTGCTGGCGGGGCCCTTGAATGGGACCCCCAGCTGGCCTTTCAAGACCTTCGGGCCCCCAAATCGGGCCCTTACTCGTAGGTTTCGAGGAGCGCGAAGTATCCCTCGGAACATAAGCGGGTGGGGGGGGGGGGAGCACGTGCCCCCCCCCCCGCCTGCGCTACGTCTTCGAAGACAAAAGTTTCCTGACATAGCTGACTTTATCCTTTCTATACGTTGTACACCTTATAAACATCCATTATGTCAGTCTGTGTCATAGCAAGGAAGAAAAACACGATCCCGTGACATCCACGGCATGTGGAAGAAAAATAATCCTCATGCCAGCCTGCTAGATTTATCCCCAACGCTTCTTCACACATATTCGAGGTGCCTACAAAGTTACAACACGAACTGCAGCTGCACTGATTTTCTCAGTTATGCGCTCACGCCCGCCCCTGGCATGTTCACGTCGCCTCAGAGCTCAATGCAGGCTGATTCTAGGTCTAAACATCCCGCCCCTCCGCTCGTTATTGGCGATGCGCTGGCTTTTCTATGATTACTACTGCAGATTTTACGACCGGCCAAAGCATCCTTTCAGTTTACTTCAGTTTCGGTGTGGATGTCCGCTCCATTGTCAAATCAGCTGCGTTCGTGAAGCCCGATAGGTGCTTGGTAAGGTGCGGCGTAACTCCTTACTTCAGATTTCCCATTTAAAAGTACATATTACGGACGTGGAAGTGCAATGTTACTCGGCATTTTATGCAACCGTATTCGAAGTAGAAGATTGGATCAAACGTGTGATCGGTGAATTTGTTGGATGGTGGGACCGGTCAGGCACCATGTATTGCTGTTTCTCTATGCACGGTTGTGCGCTTTTAAGACGGTATCCCACCTCCACCGTTTGGCTGGAGATGATATTCAGTCAGGGCAAAAAACGGAACCAAATGCATTGAGCGAGATTACCCGTCCTGAACCCCATGGTACGTTCGCCCAAATCGACAGAGATCCCGCGCAATCAGCGGATTGCAATGACAAGGGGGCCGCTGTGTATCCATCCCAGAAGCAACATTATCCTAAGGTAATCCACACAGACGTATACATTCGGCGCCTCGCCACATGCGCCTCAAGTATACCTACTGGCTGCCGTCCACACCACGACACCCATCCCTGGCAGGCACAAGGGGTGCAGCCCCATCCTCTTCAGCGTCGTATGCGCGATTCCCCACTAAGCTAAGAATAAGTTTTGATTCCATCCATTTCAAACACCCATTAAAGTCACGTTTATGACCCATTAAAAGCATATCAGGCTAATCAGCCTGCCACCGACACGGCTACTGAGACTGCTTCGGGCGTAGCTAAGGTGGATGACGACTTGTTCCCTCGTCTGACCTTCAGGATGACGACTCCCTGTTCGGGCGACGCTCCCTCCCGGCTCGTCCATCGTGGGACAGGCCACCGCTACTTCGGCCACTCCCACCGCTCAGACCCTCCCGCTGCCGCACGTCAGCCTTTGGCGACGCGGCAGCGTGTCAGAGACTAGTGCAGAGGCCCGTCCAGTGAGGCGACGTGGCCTCCAGCGCCTCTGCGCCCTCGCCTCTCACCCACCGAACTGAGCTTTGCAAGGCACGGCCTCAGGGTGCGCCCCTCAGAGACCTGGAGGTGGACAGCGCACCTGAGAGGGTGGAGCCCATCGGCAGACGGCGAGCGCGGCAGGACCTGCGCTTACGTCTTACAGTCTCCCTGGCAGACGCACTCTGAGAAATCGGCCTGACCGACCTGTCTGACGACTCAATCCCTCGTCGCCATTCCCATAAGCGTGATAGCGGGGTGTCTACCCGCACCGAACATCCCGCAATCGACGGTTTATAAGGCCTGGTGCACACCGCGTTGGAAGAGGACGGGCCGTGTCCTGATCTCTCCCGAGGCGTCATACACTAACCGAGAGATCCAGTTACCGCCGTGCGTAACCGAGCATCCCGGACTGTCCAAACCGGTCCCTGGGCATAACATGACCTATGCCTCTTCATGCCATCACACCTGAGATCGAGTGATAGACGAGGAAAAACACGAGTCGGCCTCCTCCTGGTCCGAAAATCGAAGATATTTTGCCTTCGAGTCGCGCTGCCATTAAGGCATTCCTCTGTTTAAGAGCAAGACTGTAGTCGCCTGGCTCCTACTGAATCGTGGCTAAAGCCGAGCGTCATTGCTCGGGCGTGCTCCTCGTTTACCACCATTCGCGGCCGTTGCCATTTTGCGTGACTCAAGCCCCGTAAAAAGAGCAGCAGGATGCAAATCGAGCGAGTTTCTTAGTCCAATGGAACTATATCCGATCGGTTCCCACAATAATTTAGACCACTAAGGTACCCGTTTTTTTAGCCACCGACACCCTCTGCTAGGCTCATGTCACATGGATATTGTCACACAAGGTACTGTCGTGTGTGACTTCTCTGACGAGGGACGCGCAGTGAGAGGTGCATCGTTGGAGTAGGTGAAGTGCAGTTACACTCAGCTGACACTGAAGAGGCTATCGAGGCCATGTGTGACTTCTCTGACGAGGGACGAGCAGTGAGAGGTGCATCGTTGGAGTAGGTGAAGTGCAGTTACACTCAGCTCACACTGAAGAGGCTATCGAGGCCATGTGTGACTTCTCTGACGAGGGACGAGCAGTGAGAGGTGCATCGTTGGAGTAGGTGAAGTGCAGTTACACTCAGCTCACACTGAAGAGGCTATCGAGGCCATGTGTGACTTCTCTGACGAGGGATGCGCAGTGAGAGGTGCACTGTTGGAGCAGGTGAAGTGCAGTAACACTCAGCTCACACTGAAGAGGCTATCGTGTGACGTGTAGCGCCGGTAGGTCCACTTGAGCTCGCGCTGGGCCACCAGGTCCTCCAGCGAGTTGATCCGGTCCGTCACAGTGGGCACGGTCAGGAATGCGATCAGCGTGCCTGCGGCAGCGACGCGGGTCACACACTCAGCTGAGCTGGGGCCGCGGCCGTGACGCGTCACGAGCTCCGGCTCAGGTCAGGCAGGGACGGAGGGGGCTGCGATGACATAAGTATTCAGCCTTCCGTCGCCATATGCGGCCGCGCCCCCGCACTCTTGCTGGGCCACTAGCAGCAGGTTTTGGTGGGCTCAGCGCGGGAGGGGCGACCTGGCATGTGTCTCAGTCGTCCCTGTAGGCGCCTGTGGACGTCGGTTGTGCTTAGCATTAAGAACAGTGCCGATTTCGTAGTACGTTCGAGATGCATGCGTGGCCCTCTGTCGATAGCTGCCGTTTCGACCTCTGATAGCAGCCGTTCCGGGCTCTGATTGCTGCCGTTTCTGGCTCTGATAGCTGCCGTCCCGGACTCTAATTGCTGCCGGTCCGGGCTCTAACTGCTGCGCCCTGGCGAAGAGCCGCCGTTGCGGAGGCAGGGTGACCCGTGGCTGATGTGCCGCTAACCTGTATAGCTGGCGATGATAGTGATGGCGACGAGCCACCAGACGCCGAGCAGCACACGGGACGCCGTGTTGGTGGGGATGACCTGGCCGCCTGCGACAAGACAGCCGGTCAACCTCGGCTGGGCTAGCTGGACGGCACAGTCTCACAGCCAGGGCCTGGGTAAGGCATGGCCTCGTCTGCTGAGAACGGCCACAGACGCGTCAGTGGGTGACGAAACCGGCTGGGAGCCGGCGTCAGTCGGCCGAAACCGGAAAACCGGACGGTCCCGACCGACGCAAGTCGGGGCTAAGCTCGGGCGATCAGCGCAGCTTCAGGCGGGGTCAATCAGGGGGCCACCGGGCTGGTCGGTCGGCCTCAGCCAGCATCAGTCAGCTGCACGCACCTCGTGTGTCATGACTGTCCATCAGTCTGAACAGGTTTTTATGACACCGATGTATTCGAGATGCATCCCAGGTCGAGAATGATAGCGTGACGTAGCTGCCGCTCGAGGGTCGCATGGGAGATCGGACATGTCGGTAGCCGACAATGAGTATGCTCCCATCAAACAACGCAGCAAGCAATCTGAAAACGCTTAAAGGAAGCACTTAGATGAATCGCTTGTGCTGGTTTAACACTGGCTCGTGCAAGGAAACCTCTCGTGACCGAGGTCAGGCTATAAGAAAACTGAAAATGCGGCAAGGAGCGGAGTGTGCACTTAAACTCGACGCTGTTTTTGTGACGCTATGGAGCGAGGCAGAACTATTGATTTTAGCTCCCCATCCGTGACAAATAGCTTGCGAACCCAACGATCAGATCAGAAAACTTCACGAAGTGACTATGGAGCCTAAAACTGAAGGCTACCTGTCGGTGGCACTGAACTTTGCCGTCCCCCTTCCCCCCCCCCCCTCCTTGGGTTCCGAAGGGTCCATAACTGCCGGAACGGAAGCGTATCTTTTAAGAACATAAAATGCAACACAATTGGACGCCTCTTGGCCTTCAGGTCACCGATAACAGCAAAAAGCGACGGTGAAGGGCACATGAGGGGACACAAATCATATATGTCCACTTGCTGGGGCAGTCGGATCGCTAAGAGACCTTCCACGTTGCGCTTGATTTCTTTACATTTACTTGGAGGGCTCGAAGCTATTGTTGGGTCCTTTACGCTAATTTGCCGAAGCACTCTTGAGCGAGCAGGGGGCCTGCATGGCTTCTTCCAATGACCAGAAAGGCTCCTTACGATATGGCCGGGGGCCCCATATGCAGGGGTAGTAAAACCTGCCCACTTGGTGGATAAGATCAGTGACAAAAATGCATGTATCCACGCGAAACTTGTTGCCAAAAATTTTGTTGAACAGCAAATTTTGGTAAAGGCCAAGACGAAATAGTACAGCACTCCATGCAAAACATAACACGATGTCTCCATGTATAGATATTATGCCTCCATAGCAATACATTTCGCCAGAAAACACCAGCAAGCGTTTTCATAAGACTCTTTACCATACTTAACAGCACCATGGCATTTTTGCTATGTTTCATTCTAACCCGGCGACAAAAACATCCCACGATTTCTAGTTGGTCGGCCGACTCGATGATAGGTCGGCGATAAATCTATGTATTTCCTATGGCCCAGCCAATCGGCCGATCCGCGTTTTTTAACAGCCGATCCCCAGTGTCCCGACCTAGACAGCATAAAATGCTGGAAAACCTAAATTTGGGGATTCATCTGGCCGCAAGGGCATGTTTCAATCGTTGCAATGCGACTGATCGGTGTTGGGCGGTGACTTTCAACGCACTGCAATTTTGCAAGCGTCCTTCACATTACAGTGTTATGAATGCCTGTCTAGGGTTTCATTTTTGACCTTGCTTACTTAGTTGGCAGTGACGCGATTCGGCATCCTGTTCTCAGCGACGAGATACATTAACAGTTCAGGGTAAGTCGGCGGGATGATCCGATCAAGGTAGAAATTGACCTGTGATTATTCAACCCACCTTTTCCAGATACCGATAATGCTGTTGACTCCCTGAAGCAGTCACAAACGACCGGCATTCTTCCCTTTGAAAAGAACCGTGAGTTTAATGTTTCAGTATGACGGTGTTCGCCATTAAGGGAAATAACTGGAGGCTATAATAGTTCTGAAACTCCAATTTATGCCATTTTTGCTATTGCCGTTTTTTGCTTTTACACTTTTGTTTTTGTCCTGATTGAAAATGGTTACCGTTCACATAAATCTTCAAATCCGGAGTCTTCCTACTTTTTATTCAGTTTATGGCTCCATCCCTCCCTTAAGCTTGTGAAGAAGTGTGCTAATCTGGGAGGCATCCATATTTTGGGGAACACTGCATAATTTTTCAATGTTCCTAATCTCCAAAACCTTTGCCCTTGTTTGAAATGCAATTATTTCTTCATTTTTTATAGCAATTTAACAATTATTCACGGGTTGGCCTTTTGCTGATATGAATTTTGGTTGGTGGGAATTTATATGATAGCTAATGATGCAGACCATGGGAAGGCAATGCAAGTGATGAAAGGGGTGGTGTAGCAAATGTAGGCAATGAAGAGGGGGCTCAGGTTTCATTGCCATCTCCCCCTTCACCACGAGTTCTACTTCAAGCAGCACGAGGTTTCATGGCATTATGGTCCAACTGGTTGATATTTCGTTGTCTGTGTTGACAATGCTGGCTATCTTCGGATAATAGCACCTCTACTGTAACAGGAAAGCTCTGGAGGCCATTCCTTATGTAGTGCCCATTCATAGGCATATTTTCTTCGCACTTGTGAACATGGATGCAAATATCGTATATTTCATCACTGTTTTTGCTAACACTGAATCGAAGATTATCCTGATGGAACCATCAGCATAACCACCATATAATTTTATACAGGTTGTGAAGGTATACGGCCTACCTTCTGTGCTGCCTACAATGAAAGTAGAAATCAACATAGTTTGTCTGGTTGGGGCATAATGGAAGGAGTGCCAGTTTTTATCCGTGATTAGGGGAGGTAGTGACCAATGGATAGTGGTCAATGACTCAAGTCCACAGAAGATGGTTTTGTGTTATAGCTAGCTTTTTCTCATATATTTTTTGTGATTTTCCAGCTAGAAATGTTGGTTGGTCGGAGAATCAGCAGTGAGGGGCTCAACCTAACATAGACATTGGTTGGTGTCCCAGAAAACATAAAAAACAACACAGACGACCTTAGACTTCCATATCATTGCTTGGATGTTGGCAATGAAATGTGTCATTCTGCTTTAGCAGTTGCTGTTTGCGTGATCTGAAACGCAATTTTTTACACTAGCACGTATAAAATAAATAAAAATTATGGCAGCTAACAATTTTAACCCCTGTCCTGATTCTCCGCTCTCCGCAACGCGGACTGATGGGAGTGGATCCACTGACGTTTGCGAACTAAGAAAGATAAAGCCTCGTAAAAAAACAAATGGTGAACTGTCTTTAACGAGATCTCGTGAATAGTAAGAAGTCTTCTGTTGTTAATTGACCCAACTAGACCAAGTCGAAGGTAAAATTTTCCTGAAACCAAGCATCAAATTTGTATGTTGATATTTACGAAACCATGCAGCGTAGTGACATGGAACATAAGGAGGCGTGTTCCTTGTTTATCTAGGAGTACAGTGCCATGTAGTTTTTCCTGTTTGGGGTCTACATTTATAATGTGGGATTTCGTTCACGTAGCAGTGCCAACCCTCTGCGCGCGGTCCGCAGAATCGTGGTTTGCCACCCGCCGCACCCGCCAGCCTGGAATCGTCTTGCAACGCTCGTGAAAAAACATCGCTACTCTGAAACCAGAATAACTTGGGACACTTTTTTACGTCAACACGCGTGCAGTGTTGACACCAATATCCCAGAGGCTACCAAAGATTTGAGCGACACCGCGCAATATACCGCATTGGTATCCTCAGGAAACCCTAGTGATGGGGGGGGGGGGAGAGTATCGCATCGTCCACCGATGCTCCCTCCTGTCAGGGCAAAAAGGCAGCCGCCTGATGTGAAGTTATTGACATATTTTGACGCAATTTACTTGTTGGGGATCGGCGAAAGGCGCCCGCCAGTCAAAACATGTCGCGCCAGGCTTGGGCATGCCTAAGGTATGGTGGATAGTTTGATGATAGCTGAGATGGGACTCGAAGCGCACACGTGATTTACATAAGGGGGCGTTGCCTCGTGAAACCCCATATTTGACATCATCCCCAGTGCCACTTGCCACTGGGGATATGCCATGCCCTGGCTATCGAGGTCTTTCGTTGTTTTCTTTTTGCAGTTCAGGAAAGCAAATCCAGCCTTAGATCGCGTGTAGACGTGAGACCCCAGCAAGTCCCGAAGATGGAAGAAAACTGTTGTTGTCATTGGACTATCTCATCATTCTAGGCTATCTCATCATTCCATGGCAGATGCGCCTGCTTTCCTAGCAGCAGCACTTTCCCCGACATTTGTTGAAGGACAGCGTATGGTTGAACGTTTCGGTTGTGTGCATGTTATTGTAAATTGCAGCGGTGACAGAACCTTTCGGTGATAGGCTGGTTACTGATATCGCTACTATGTATGGACTTATTGAGCATTTTGTCATAAGATACCGCACAACGCTACTGGCGACAATTTCCCCCCAGAAATTTGGTCGGCGACAAAAAGTACACTTTTGCTACCCCCACCCATATGGTAGCCTGCCGGGGTGCTCTCGATTGTCCAGGCGCCCATAACATTGGTGTCAGGTTCTTTCCACTTGCTCGGAGGGACCTGCGCTTTTACTGGAAGCCACATAGGTTAACGTAACGATTCACCCGATGCCCAAGGGCCCTACATTGGTCTGAGGCTCTTTCCGTTTACCTCATTTGTGGAGGACCCACATTCTTATCGAAGTCACGGGTGTCAATTTGTGTTCTTTTGGGTGGGCCTCAGACCCCGCCCCAAGGGTAAGTTTGGCCCCCGTCCCTCCCCCCAACCTTCTGGCGCCGAGGCAAAGCAGAGTATGAACAATGAGATACCAACATTATATGAATAAAAAAGAAGGTTTCTACTAATTATTTCTTAGGTAAAGGAACAAGGTCCACCATTGTTTCACAGGTAAAGGACTCTTCCTTCACCCACACGGGCAAACCTCGTGTCATTGTTCGGTAACCCCGTGTGACAAAGGTGAGCCCCCCCCCCCCCTCCTCGTGATAGAGAATCGCCAACAACGCTGCAGTGCACCTCTAGCGTCATAAGGCCGCCAAAGATGAAGATGACGATGAAGATGGAAGCACACCGAAAATAAACATTGCTTTACTCGTGACAGGAAGACAGCGAAGATTCAACACCGCACCACTTTGTGACAGCGGAGGGGCATCAAGAAGGCAACGTTCACTTACCTTGAGAAAGAAGACCGCCGAAGATGTACCACTGAATGCTGAAGTAGCGCACCTTGGCGTTCGGTCGGTGGGGGTAGAGCTTCGGTATCAGGTCCTCTTCAAAATGCTCCAAGAACGAGAACACGGGTGCGATCACGAGCAGCAGTACGCTCACGGCAATCCATACCTGCAAACGTCGAGGTCGTCAGTGCTTCGTGTCCCTGCAGCTGCTGACGACGCCATCTCAGTGGAATGAGTCCCTGCAGCTGCTGACCGTGCCATCTCAATTGAATGAGTCCCTGCAGCTGCTGACTGTGCTATCTCAGTAGAATGAGTCCCTGCAGCTGCTGACGACGCCAATTCAGTGGAATGAGTCCCTGCAGCTGCTGACTGTGCCATCTCAGTAGAATGAGTCCCTGCAGCTGCTGACGACGCCATCTTAGTGGAATGAGTCGCTGCAGCTGCTGACTGTGCCATCTCAGTAGAATGAGTCGTTGCAGCTGCTGACCGTGCCATCTCAGTAGAATGAGTCCCTGCAGCTGCTGACAACGCCATCTTAGTGGAATAAGTCCCTGCAGCTGCTGACTGTGCCATCTCAGTGGAATGGGCCCCTGCAGCTGCTGACGACGCCATCTCAATGGAGTGAGTCGTTGCGACCTTCGTGGTGTAGTGCTGTGACTATCGGCTGCATTCATGAAGGCCTGTACTTTATACGAGGTACCATAAGAACGTACATAGTTAGATTTTGCGACGGAAATATTTTTACAACTGTCAAGAAAATCGCATTACTCTGCTAACACACGAAAAACAAGAGGGTAACAAGCGGCCGCATGCATACCGCGTTCCCCGCGAGATGCAAAAATATTGTAACTATAAAAATGCTACGACGAAACGGAATAAAATCTGCGACGGGGCATGCACCTATGGGGCAAATGGCAATTCTTGGGCGCTGTTAACGAATCACGTCCACCGTGCAGACCCACCTTCCATGAGAAGGGCCTTATAACCGCGAACATCTTGCTCTGGGCCTTGGGCGGCGGAATGAGAATGGCTGAGGGCTCCTCGTAGAAGGGGATCGTGAAGTCGATGCCCTCCTCACGCACCTGAGTAATGGTGAACCCAGCCACGCCCAGGGACACCTCCTGTCGGAATACCGGCATTGATGACCGCTCGTTACAAAACAAGACGAACAGTTAAGCTACAAGCGTAACAATCTTTGGTATCTGCTCCATCTGATTATGGGATCCTTTTTAACACCCGCCTTGGTATTTTTTTTAAATTCCTCTCCGGTATAAAGTGCAATCGCCCCTAAATTCGCTGCAGGCGTGAGACACTTCCTGAAATTTTCGAGTTGCTTTGCATAACAGCATGTCGCGTCACCTGCATCTGTGTCATTTCTGCGTCATCTTCTCAGTGTTGTGGCGATGCCCGGAAAACGGCAATACGTTTGTTGTTGTGTGTCAGCCATTTTAAATGAAGTAAGCAATGAAACTCCATTTACCAGATATGAAGCACGCAAACGCTTCTGCCCTTTCAGTGAAATTTCAGGCTAAATATTTGTTCGCCCAATGACGCCCTCGAACTCGCCATATAGTCCCCAAATAGTTTCAGTAGTTCTACGCCAAACACGCCAGGTATCGGCACACCTCTAACGAGCTCTCCTCACCGATCTGTTGACCATGCCAACCATGCCGTTCCACGTGCCGTTGTCCAGGCGGCTCCCCCAGTTGCCGTCGTACGGCAGCTGGAGGCTGATGCTGAAAAGGCGGGGAGTCAGGCGGCGACGAGCACCGGAGCCGGGCCGACACCCGGCCCGTATCGAGCTGCCGCGTCGGCGCCGGTTACGCCTGTGTTTGAAAGACCGGCCACTAGCTGGGCACTGAACAAATATCAGCATTGTGGAAGCGAGACACACGCCGGCGGCCACCAGTCGCGCTGTAAGGCGTGGGCTCCGAGGCAGGGGCTGGCCAAGTGCCGCTGGGCTTCTGTTAGCACGAACTCATTACTGTAACGGTCGCCCGGTAGGTGGCGCGGCGTCCACAAGCACGTCGCCTTCTCTGCCCACACAACTGCTAGTTTGAAAACAATGGGAATTTCCTTTTCTGCATAGTGTTGGTCGTCAGCAACAAAAATAATCTAGTTCCACGCAACATTTCGGCGAAGTATTGTTCGTCTACCGTATTAACGCATTTAATAGATTATTCTCCATGCACATGGCTGCTTCGTTAACATCAGCGCATCGCGGCTAGACCAATGTACGCCTGCAAAGGTCTCCAGTCGTGCAAAACACTTGACCTATCGTTGAACATGGGGGCCAGGTCAGTGAATGGATAATATCCATTCTTGATATCCGTATCCAATACCATCCTCGCTTATTTCAGCATGACATCAGTTTCAAATCGCACGGGATACTGACTGACGCGTGGGGCACCGCATGGTGGCCGAGGCCGAGAGCGCAGAGCATCGCCGTGCGCCGACACTCACTTGAATCCGTACTTCTCCATGAGGGCCGATAGCATCTCGAAGCAGAAGCCGGTGGCCTGCAGTATGGTCTTGCCGTCGGAGGCCATGGTGAGGATCGCGAACGGCGGACGCTGAGGGCGCGGCGCACCGGTCACCGTCAGCGGCGAGAGTCACGCCGCGGCCACGGAGCGGCCGTGATGGGCGATGCAGAGAGGCGTAAGGCAAGTGTTTTGACGTTTGTGCGAGTATCAGTCACTCGGCATGCTGTTCTACAAAGTTCTGATCGTTTCTCGAGGGATGTAAAAAGGAAGGAAGTTCCGGAAGAACTGTATGTTTTCTGACATTTCAAAGACAGCGCATTCCCGGAGCAACGAAGGTAGTGTTTCAGACCGATACTAATATTTACATGAAATGTGAAGAATGCTTTCGCCTCGGTAATGTGCTGTACGTGAAACATGACCACACATGCAATTACTTAAAGCCTTCTTTCATTTTACTTCTACCTTGGAAATGTCAGAGCACTGAAGAACACTCTAAGCGTTGCTAGGGCTGACACTGTCACCGAATGCACGGACTAAAACGCATTTAACATCCTTGTGTTGTAAACCCTTTTGCTATTATATGAGTAAAGTATTGCAGCTATTTCGGTACCAAAATTTGCCATTATATTCGTACTGCATCAGCATAAAGCCGTGTAACGATGGATGCGTAATACGCACGCCTTTTGGAAATGCCATATTGGGGGATATCCTCGCCACGATAGCAACTGACAAGTAGCTGTCAAGCTAAACAAGAGAACGTTGGGAAAACTATAAACATAGGAGATCTGACCCCAAAACTCTGACATAATTTTTCCGTGGCATCAGGTGAGTACATGCTTTCAGCTGCTGCTGTCCTGGCGGGGATCGGGCATGCGGCGAGATATCTGTCCTCCTCAGCGCGCAGACCACATCTTGCGCGTCGCCTGCGTCTGCGGGCCGTTGCCTGTGTGTGTGTTGGGAAGAGGGGGGGGGGGGGGGGGAGGTTGTCGTCGGTCTGGAGCTGATTTCCAGATGTGCATGGGGAGGGGGGGGGGGGGGTGGGAAGCGTCCGCGACCGTACCTGGATGGTGACCACCTGCAGGGTGCGGCCCCGCAGGTACTCCCTAGCCTCCTGCAGCCGCACCATCTCCTGGTCGGCCCGCTCGCTGACCTCCCGGTGGGCAGCCGCTGGCGACAGACGCAGCGCACAGCTCAGGTCACGCGCTGACCGCCTGCGCCGGGGGACCGCCCGCCGGTTCACCGCAGCGCGCGGGCTGATACAGACCCCTGTCTGAATTTCAAACAGTGCGCTTCCGTCGCTTGATATGGCTGCGACTGATGAACTTTTGCGCGCGATGAAGGCACGGCGCCAGGCTAAGGGCATGGACTACAGACAGCCGCATGGAACTGAATGTAATCAAACCGAACCTTTTAACAGAAATGAGGGCAGTGGTGTCGCGAAGGAACATTGAACGCCATTCATCACAGCGCCCCCAAATGCACGGGATAATCTGACGTTTGCCCATTGCCGTTATTTTTATAACATGGCCAGCTTTTGGGTCTTCTATTCCGGTAGCTCATGCACGTAAAACACACATCTCGTTCTTCGTGGCATTTGCAAAACCAATTTTGGGGTAGATTACTTCTATGTGATCATAGGATATTTTCATATATACATATACACACCCACACCCACACCCATATACATATATATATATATATATATATATATATATATATATATATATATATTCTCACATATTTACACACACACACACACATATATATATATATATATATATATATATATATATATATATATAATACCCAGTATTCTCTGAAGGCGGATCTGCCCGGCATCCACAAACCTCTCCCCTCCACCTAGTTCATAGACCTATGGCCCAGTGTTTTGAACAGAGAGGTACACCATTAAAGGTAAGTTTAGACAGTGCGCTGATGAGTGATGCCAGGGCTCTTCTATCGCTATCAGCAACGTTGAATAATGTTTGCGGAGCTCCAAAATCGCTGCAAGTTACAGATACGCCCACACAAAATGCGACTGTGGTGCATCAACATTCGCTAAAACATACATAGCACACAGGTCATGCCTGCTTTAAGCATTAACAGGTGAGATAGGCAGCCCACTTCCAGCAATTTCGCGCATACCTTCTTGCAGGAAAGCGGGAACTCTGGGAGGGGTAGGGGGACAGGGAGCTGATCGCCAACTTTCGGAATATATTTCAAAGGCTCTGTGGGCGTTGACTGGAGAAGACAGTCAGACAACAGCCAACATCTTTTTTTGTTTTTGATCTGTTCGCGAAACCTCAATACCTCTTCCATGGCGGTGGGGATCTTGGTCTGGTCAAGAATGCGGCTATAGAGCGAATGCTCCTGTGCAGTGCCCCTTTGAGAGCTTGCCCAGCTAGGCGAACGTCATGAGAAACGATCGCACTTTGATAATGGGACCACCCATAGCTTATGCGATGCGTTCATATCGATTATAACACAAACGGTACGGCAAACTTTACGGCTTCCCTGGCACACATTAACAACGCACATAACACCAGGTACGACGCCAGGCGCCGTTCCATCCAACGACAGGCACACACTCAATGGGCTACTGATAATTGGTGTCGTTCCACTCCTTGATCCTCACAACCATCTTTCCCCTCTTCACAGGCGAAATGTGCGAGCAGTTTGAGAGGCAGGGAGCAAAGTGCAACAACAATCACGATAGCCAGCAGATTGCGCTCTGAGTATCTTTGTTAGATCATCATGTATCGATACATTTGTGTTTCGTATTTGGTCCCATGGGACCAAATACCATAATATCGCACACGTGATATGGCGAATGGGTGCATGACAAGGAAACTAAATCGCCTCTGGGGTAGAAATTTACAGATATTTTGGTAGAGTTGACATTAGGCCATGTGTTTGGCTCCCGATTTTCGTACTTGTAGATGCCCAATCTTGTACCAATTTAGGCTACGGTCAATCAACGCTTGTGCGAAAAGGGCTAATATGACTTCTCTCCCAGAAAGCAGCATTAGCAGCGGTCCCGGGCAGAACGGAAGCCCATATTGCTGCCCAGTCTTCGTGCAGCAATAAGGTTTAGATACGAATCAACCCTCTGGCCTATCTTACACATATTGCATAGTGAGTACTGACGCACCAATCCCCGACCAGTGATAAGCGTTGATCATACCGTCCGAAGAAATGATGCCACTTGGGAAAAGGGAACTCATGTTCTAGGTGGCAGGTACGTCTTTCAAATGGCAAGTGAGTGAGCTCTCGTTTTAAACCTCCTATATCATGGCTATCACATCTTACCCTCAAAACATTGGTGTCTCATATCAATCCTTGACTAATAAAGCCAAACTATTCCGTAAGTGAGGCAGCAGCTGCCCCAGCAGCTCAGTGTGTGGTCAGTGGTAATATTCGTGAAACGAGTGGCCTCGCGTCCTGGGAAATGCGCCAAAGTTCAAATGGCGGAGTATGCTCGTCAGGGCTTGTGTGATGACGTCATCCATCATTCTGCCGACACTAATGGCGTTCCGTCGCGAAATCGACGTCCGATGCAAGGTGCAGAGAAACACGGCCATGCATGGTCCAGGCCTCTGTTCTGTTGTGTCCCGCAGAGTTGGACTGGCTGAAGATTCTCCCTCTGTAACTTGGCTGGAATCTATTGTAGTAAATGTGGGCGCCATGGATGTTGAATGGCCCAACAAAGACCATTCAAGGCGAACAAAGAATTCGATTCCCACAGTCGAGCCTACGGTACATACCGAGCCAGGGATTGATCCCGCATGACATCTTAGGGCGCCTACGTCCTTCTGAGGGGCCAAGCTCCTCAACTGAGTGCACTTTTCAAATCCGCCAATTGCGCTATTTAACCACAGTAATTAGATTACATAGATGTACCTAATTCGAGCAAAGTATGGCAAACTCATGCTTTACATCGTCTCGGAAATGACCAGGGTTCCATTACCTCCATTTTTTGGGATCCGTCCTTGCGCAGTACTGTAACGCGGTTCAAAGCGTTACAGTACTACACGTCTTGCATCACATAAGTTTCCTCCCCGAATAAGCTATCACTCGTGTGCGGCGGCAGACCCTCGGACAGTAGCGCCGACCGGTTCACGTGCGTGGCCGCCACGGCACGGCGGCACGGCGCCGCCGGCGTCCGAGGCTGGCCGCCGGCTCCGCCTCACCTGTGACGCTGCCGACGATGGCCAGCACCAGCACCAGCCGGAGCTGGCCGGTCGGACCGGCACGCCGCCGGCCCATGTCGTCCCGGCCGCAATCACAGACTGCGGGCGGCCGCTGACCGCCGGCCGCCGGCCTGGTCCGGGCGGGGTGCGCGCACACACCGCCCCCGCCCACCGGCCCGCACAGCCGGACCGGAGACGCTGACCGCTGGCCGCCGGCCTGGTCCGGGCGGGGTGTGCTGGCCTGGTCCGGGCGGGGTGTGCTGGCCTGGTCCGGACGGGCGCACACACACACCGCCCCGCCCACCGGCCCGCACAGCCGGACCAGAGACGCGGGGCCGGTCTACGACGGACTGGTCCCGGAAACGCACGGAGCGGGGCACGGTCACCGGCCGTTACGTGACACGCTTCTTCGCAGCGTGCGGCTGGTGAAAGGAATTGAAACGTTCCATCGTTGAGTTCCAGCGAATGAACACGTTCATAGCGGCGTACTTGTCACCAACATCTCGCTGGGTCACCGTGCGAATGGTGCGTGCAGCTGCCGCAGTGGCTACGTGCGTTTTAGCTACAGGCGCTTGCCAAGCTTCCACGTGAACTTAAGCGCCCAATCCATGCAAAAACTTCCAGGCAGCAGCGTGTGGTACGTCATGTATTGCATCATGTGCGCTGATTTAGCCATTAGATGTTTGTCGCAAACAAGAACTGTTGTGTACAAAAGGAATCATAACAATACCACACCCAAGGGAAACAGCATATACCACAGCATTGTCATTCGATGCTCGCACGCGCAAGATCTCCTCTCACGAATCACCTGTTATCTATTCGGCTGTGGCCATACTCACCCGCCCACTGTTCCCAGGCAGCGGTGCTCAACTGTTATCCCATCCGTTTGCATTTTCCGCAGCACTATCGCTATAGACTGCGGGAGGCTTTCATAAAAGTTAAAACCAAGCGTTAGTATTTTGCACTGATGTGATAAAAAGCAGTGCGAATGGAGCTAAACGCTACGAAAAAGCGCAACCGGTGACATCGTGTGTTTTTTCGTAAAGTGACCACTCAGTATGTCACAAACGTCTTCCCCATTTCCCTACCGATGCCAGTAGTTTTCCGAAAATTAGCACCCAATCCCGCCACTTACCTTGCCACTTACCTTACTTATTTAATGCGGATACCACATGCATTAGTTTCTAACTCGCAGTCTCTGTTTGCCATCATATCACGCATAACGGCACCACGCTCACGCACATGGCCAGACTTCAATGCAAGGCAAACGGGTGTAAGTGACGAACTTGCGTGGTCGGTTGTGCATTGGTGACCTTCGTATGATTTTGCGCTGACCGTTTGATGCGAATAGGTGCCATTGCAATTATAACAATGTCGACTAGATGCAATATACCGCCTGTTATTACTGTTGAAGATCAGGTCACCAAATGACACGTGACCTACATCGCCTACCACATACTCCAGGATATCCCTAACGTATGCATTGAGTGACGAGCATTCAAATCGCATCCACATCAGTCGTGGCGCACGCCATTCGCAAGAACGATATTTAACACGCGACCGGGTGGCCAGTTGAAGACCCCTCGTTTGGTTGGGGGGTGGGAGTGGGGTGGGGGTCAAGTTGACCCCCTCCTGATACCTCGGAAAATAAGATAGCTATAGACACCAAATAAACATGGTGAGCTGAACTATGTATGAAGAAACTTACGTCAAATTTGAGGTTCCACATCATGATCATGGGATTAAATAAGGTCAAACAAGGTTAAACTCCGGATTAATGTCTAAAATGCCCCCAGACCTTCTCACGCAATCGCCGTGAACCCAGATACCTGTTTCGAGAAAAAGTCAGTGGTGGTCATTCAAGGTGCTGACCTTGCTTGACCTTTAAATATCAAGGTGACCGATAAGCTTCAAAATTGCTATTGTTTTCTCTCAAAAAGGCGTCAGGAATTACGCTACATGGAATGTTTGTACACAAATGTTTGCCAGTGTCATTTTAGGTCAGCGTTGTAATTTAAATTCTTAAAAGATCATGAAACATGTCTGTTGCAGTCGCTGTCAATACTAAATTCAAATTGACCACCAAAAAAAAAACAACCACACAGAGCAAGCTTTCGAGTACATAACAGGTCTGTTTTGACCTGTCTAGCTTTCACATCCAACCTTAGGTTATTTCCTTTTTTGTGACTCTAAATGCAGTTGGCCGTTTGCCCCAAAAACTATCTCGGAGATGTACGGCTTCATCTAACACTCCGTTGTCGCAACGGATTGAAGGATATGCTTGAAATGGCCGCGCCGCCAGCCAAGGCCTAAAT